AATTATTTTCACATCCAAAACTGGAGAATTATGTTTCCATCAAAAAAAATAAAAAATGAAGCTGCATTTCTTGTACACTTCGACCCTCTGATTGGATCTGAGTTGCTGATCTCCAGCCAAGCTGGCTGTAACTTTGGTGGCTTCTAGCCTTTTGTTCTTTCCTCTTCCTCCAGATCTTCCCCAAAGACAGCTGGCTGATTGCCTTGTGTGCCGGGATGACGAGCAGCTTCGTGGTGGCCATCGCCATGACACCTTTTGATGTGGCCAGCACCCGCCTTTACAACCAACCGATTGGACCCGATGGCCAGGTAGGAAATAGGAAGAAGGGAGAGAATGCAGAGGAAGCCGCAACCCTTGCAGTTAGCTGGACGAAAGGAAAAAATGGGAACACAGAACAGTCCTTGACTTATAGCCATCCAGGTCTCAATGGTTATTTCAAAGGTGCTTTTTCAAGAGGCAACTGAACTTCCTTTGTTTTTCCTTGAAGACATTTTGCTTCTCATCTACTTGTGTTTCCCCGAAAATAAGACCCTGTCTTATATTTTTGTGCCACCAAAAAAAGGCACCAGGTCTTATTTTTGAGGTGGGGGGGATGTCGTTCAATGACCCACCTCACTTGAGCGTCGCCCCTGGCCTCTTTTTTGCTGTCAGAGGCCTTCAGGAACTTTTCTGCAACCAGCAAGGCTTTCCTTTTAAAAAAAAATTTTTTATTGGTTTTTAAAAACAAACATAAACAAACAAAACATAAAAACATCAAGCTGTCTTCCATAGGTGTACATACAGTGTGCCGGTTGGTTTACAAATTGTTTTGTGCTTCCATTTCGTAGTCTTCAGTTACATTACATATAATCTCATATTGTCAATCAAAAACTAAATACCTTAGTATCATTATTAATCAATCATTTGACTATACTTTTATTCGTTCATGTTTTACAAGATAACCATAATTTACTTAATTTATTGTATAACAGTTCATATTATCATCCCAAATCTATCCTAAAATCATTTTGTAGTTATAATAAGAAAGAAGTACATCTTTATATATTTATTATTTTCTAGAAATCTACATATTTCATTACTGTACTTTGTTATCTAACCATTGATAGAAAAGATCCCAAATTTTATAAAAGTGTTTATCCTCTTGTTCTCTAATTTCAAATGTCAATCTACTCATTTCAGCACATTCCAATATTTTCTTAATGATTTCCTCCTGTGATGGTATCTTCTCATTTTTCCAGTTTTTAGCAAATACAATCCTAGCCGCTGTTATTTCAGGTATTTCAAGTCTTTACTATATATTTCAGGTAAAATTCCCAACAAAAATATCTCTGGTTTCAAGTCTATATGTTTTTTCATCATTTTCTCCAACCACATGTAGATTTTAGTCCAGTATTTTTTGGCATCCGCACAAGTCCACCACATATGGTAAAATGAGCCAGGTGTCTGATGACATTTCCAACATTTTTCGGATTTATTCTTGAACATTCTTGCTATTCTTGTCGGGGGGAAATGCCACCTGTAAAATATCTTATACAAATTTTCTTTATATGCTGTTGACATTGTCATTTTATAATTTTGAGATCACAATTTTTGCCATTTCTCTAAATCAATCCCATATCCAAAATTCTTCCCCCCAAGCAATCATTGTTTCTTTAACTTGTTCTTCTTCTAGTTTAATTTCTAATAAATATCCATACAATTTTTTAATCACCTTTTCATCAGTACCTGTCAAAATCTTATCTAAGTCAGTCAATTTATCATAGAAACCTTCTGTTTTAGAATCTTTATCATACCTTGAATGTATTTGCGCATATGAAAACCAATTCATCTTCATACCTTGTTCCTCTAGTTTTTGCATAGATTTAAGTTCACCCTTTTCATTCAGTATTTCACCATATCTAACCGTTTGTTCCTTTTTGTATATTATAGGATATGAAAATGCTTCAATAGTCGATAACCAGACTGGAATTTTCAAATAACATTGTCTTTTAACCTTCTCCCAGTTTAACCACAGAGACTCCCGTATATAATGTCTTCTAAAATATCCCTGTGTTTTAGTTCCTTTTTACCATAAAAAAGCATGCCACCCCAACAACAGATCATGTCCTTCTAATGTCAACAATCTAGCATTTCTTAGTGTTATCCATTCCTTAACCCACATGTAGTTCAAAATGAAAATAGTAAAAAAAGAAGGCCAGTAATAATAATAAAAAAAGGAAAAAGAGAAAAAAAGAGAGGACAAAATTTCTTCAAGTTCTTGTATATCTTAATCCAATCAAAAATAAGACAAAGAAAGAGAGCTTAAAAGAAAAAAGAAAAAAAGTGAAAAAAGAAAAAGGAAAAATTCTTCAGGTTCTTCAACACCTTAATCCAATTGAAAGTTCTCGAATAAAAAAAAATGTGTAAAAATAAACCAAAGAAGTAGATGAAAAAACAAAAATACCAGGAAAGGAAAAAAAAGGGCTTTTAAGGCTTTCCCTTTAAAATAAAAAGCAAACGTAGAGGTTGGACTTCCCCAAAAAAAGAGAGAGAAGAACAAAGGCAAGCTCCAACAAAGCCAGAAACCCAAACAGTTATTACAAAGAAGGGGATAAAAAAAATGCAATAAAGCTGGTGAGGAGGGATAGCACAACTTAGGAAAAATAAAAAGGGCACACTGCACTTTATTTAATTATCCAAGGATCTTATTATAGCTCTCTTCTCCAAAAACTTATCACCTTTCCCCCCCCCTACATTTCAACACCAGACTCCAGCTGTTGATAGAAATCCAGAAGAGCACCTGCAATAATACTCTCTCATGCTCTTCCCTCTATCTTATCAAATAGCAATGTCCTTGAAAAAGAGTCTCAGTTCTTTCTTTCTCAGCTTTGTCTGGTCACAGGGAAAGAATATTTTCAAGCCTCTAGTTGGCAGTGTTACAAAGTTTCTTTGCTCTCACTTTCCCCCTCCTTTTCCGAGCAGAATATAATGAGGGTTGATAAAAAGAAAAAAAAGATATTTTTTAAAAATGAATTAACTAAAGGGAGCCTGTAGCCAAAAATATTACAAAGTCAAAAAGGAGAAGAAAAAAGATAAATAGATATGAACGAAAAAACCAGTCCAGTTTCAAAACACAAGATCATATATAAAAAATCCAGCAATTAGAAAAAACAAAACAAAACATTACTTTGACACTCCTGTTTAAAATCGTCGCTTAGTCACTTCTGTCAAAACTTTTACAAATTCTTTCTTTCCCTTAGGGTGTCCTTTCAGATCTTAGAGTAAAAAAAAAGTTCTCACCAAACTGGCACACTTTCTCTTTCTGCTCTCTTCCATTTCGGAGCTGTCCCAACTTCAGCAGCTTTAATGGCTGCCTCTTTGCCACTGGCAAGAAGAGCTTCTCCTGGATCTACCAGGGACTTTGCGGTATCCCTGGGATCGGCAGGATGCGCTCTTCACTTTCACCATCTCTTCGGGACAGTTTAGGTCCAATTGGATTGTCCAGGAGCAAAGATATCGGCAGCGATCTCAGACCTCCAAGATCGCATGCCATATCGTCGTGACTCCAGCTCCGCCCTCCCCAGCAAGGCTTTCCTAAAGGTCTCTGCAGCCGATAAAAGAGCTCCGGATCAGGAAAGCCTTGCCAGCTGCAGAAGAAATGGGCCGGCAAGGCAGCTGCTGGGGTGTGCGAGGTGTGACTGCAACTGTCTGAAGGTAAGTGGTAGGGCAGTTTCACCTTAGCTTAATTTTTACCTGTACACCCTGGAGTGGGCAGGGTCTTAATCAGGGCTTATTTTGAGCATAGAGCTTATATTGGGCATACATGTAAAAATCAAGCTAGGTGTCAGCTTTGAAATTCAGCTGCCACATTTGTTTTTAGAGAGTTAGAGGAGTTGAAAAGTTCAAGGTTATTCTGTGTGTTGTATTAAGAATTTCCAGTTGCAGTTAATTGGTTCTCATGATTTATGAAGTGTAGAAGTGGGAGGAGAGGAGGGAGGAGAGAAGGTGGGTTCTGTGTAACGCGCCAAAAAACTTTTATTTGGGAAATTGCTTTTGACTTGCCAGATCTGTTCCTAATAAATCAACCGGAGAGATAACTCGGAGTGATTGATATCATGGATACTTTCTGGATGCTTGACATTTATTTCCCAAGACTAACTTTTATTTTTTGAATGGGCTTGGGTGATGCCCCGGAGTTCTTTTCCCAGAAATGGAGAAAGAGCAGCAATCAGCCGAAGTTGGAGGTGTTTAGGGGGGAGCGTGTGGGGGCCCTCCCTCCGGAGCATTAATTGAACCTGCCAGCCCTTGTTTGGAGGAGATGATGGATGCTTTCAGGATGGTAGGAGAAAGAGATTTCGGAGCTATACCGAAGCGTTTCAACTCAAGAAGTTGTTATAACCCAGAGGTAACCCAGCTGTCTGAAGAGAAATCTTTCTCTAGCCCCAGGCATATGGCTATTCTGTCAGATTGGAGGGAAGAGAGACAATTGGGATTTCTCTCAAGAAGACAACCCCCAGATTATTCCTGGAAGTCCATCAAGGGCAGATCTACATCAGCAGTTCCAGAATTTAAAGAGGACATATTTGGTCTCACAGTCTGTTTGGACAGGTGGAAGCTTGAGACCACCCATATTCACTTACCCAAATACTGTGAGGAATGAGGAGCCTATACAGATGCCAGTTGGAGGAAGCCAGAAAGAAGCATCAACTAACAGAGGTATGTTGCAGCCTCTGAGGCAATCCCCTCATTTTCCAGAAGGAATTTTGCCCCTTGCAGAGAGTATCACTCCAGGGTGGGGATTTTATCCAGGCCAGGGGTGGATTCAATGCCAATGGCAGCCAGCACCAACCCTGGTCTGAAGGGGGGTTGCTCAGACAGCAGACAGTGGCCACACTCCCTCCAGTCGACCAGGGAACCAGGCCACCCCCATCTTCCTCCTGGCAACCACAATTGCAGCTCCAACCAGAAAAGAGGCCAGAGGGACCCCTATTCCAGAGAGGCACCACCCAGCCAGGATTCAGGGGGCCTACCCAGCCTATGTACGCCACCCAGCCTGTTCCTTCCATTCCAGTATAACCTGCAGGAGCCTGGCATGTGCCACCTCTGCAACCATGACCCAGGCCGGACCGAATACCCTTTGAGGTCATATTTGATGGACACCACGAACATTTCAATTACTTCCTCACTCAAATCCGATCTCATATAGAACAATTTGGAGATCAATATGCCACAGAGCACGATTTGGTTACGGCCATAACAAATGGGATGAATGAAGGAGATGCTTCAGACTGAGTAGCCCAACTACACAATGAACAAACCCCCGAATTAC